TGTTTTGCAGTGTCAAAATTCACAAATGTTGGGTATTGTATCTACAGTTTCACGAAAGGTTTTCATTTCAGTAAACACACTCATTCAGCTGCACATAAGTCAAGGACACTTCTTCATGCGATTGATAGTATCTTTAACAACTATACATGTCTGTTTTAAATGTTACACTCGAACTTACCTTATTAATGTTTATATTTATGAATACAAACTTACTTGATTATATGATTTGTTTATCGTTTGTTATGAAAAAATTATAATGTTAATGATTTTTTTATCAGTGTAAAAACATTTTAAAATGTGATTTGATAATATTCAGTTTGTGTTTTACTTTTCAAAGTGTTGCGATGATAAACACTTTTTCAATACATATTTCTTGTGGAAATCACTGGTCTAGTGAAATCACTTTTCAGAGAGTTGTTATAGTAAACACTTCATTAAAACATGGTTGAGACAATTTTCTACGTGTCGTGATTATAAACACTTTTTATGTCTAGTTTAAGCACTGTTAAAAGTGTTGTGACAATAAGCACTTTTTTTATATATGTTCCTGGTGCAAACACTTTACAAAATGCGTGTCTAGTAAAAGTACTGTTAAAACTGTTGTGATAATAAGCACTTTTTATACATGTTCCTGGTGGAAACACTTTACACATTTGTTATGGGCAAAAACATCCCTAAAATGTTCCAATAAAAGTGTTTTCATAATATACACTTCTCGAAATTATGAAGATTATAAACACTTTAAGTGTTTTTATAGTGGGGATAAGCTTATAAATGCTTTACAAGTTTTTTCACAAAACACTTAAGGTATAATTGCAGGTTCGTGGGCACTTGGGAGTGAATCTTTTTTTTTGCGTTTTATTATCCAAACAACATTATGAATAGTGGAACATACTCAAAAGACGATTTTAAAATATAGAAAACTGGTACAAACATTCTCTCTTTTGAATGCTTAGCAAGATTTAGCAAGGCTGTACATAAATAATCAAGAAACATGGTGAAAAAAGTAATGACGGAATCATCATAAGTTATGTGAAGTAAAATGCATATGAATACTTCTTAGCCATTCCTCTGCCGGGGCACGACATCTGAAAAAATAATCTTATAGGAAAGATACGAAGCAATATGCAATAACGCTATAAGCACACTTTCGTATTAGAGAATTCCATTGTTCAATCGAACGAATATTCAGCTGTGTGCTACAAGCCTTTTTAGTTCGTAAAAATATCATAATCCAATGTATTCATCGCAAATATGTTGGTTTCAGGTGTTTGAACATTTCAGCGATTGTAATAATTGCACCAAATATAAAGTAGGTCGTATTTGCTCTTGGTAGTCCATTCTCTTACATAAATGACAGAGATGTTTCCATTGATTCCGCTTACAGCAAATGAAATTGTTTGGAATGTGTGCTTCCACTGAAGTGGCGCTTTTAATAACTCAGATACGGTAACATGCCTCTCCCAAACCATACCATGTGCACATTGTTTGAACTAGCATATGTTGATAATTATTGATGAGCTGTGTGCGAACCAAATAAAAAGTGCAATGCGCTTATTTTTTTAATGGAAAACACAGTATGGCACAGAAGATGGCTTATCATCGTAATCACTAACAACTAATAAAAAATATACGGTAAGATGTTTCTTTCGTTATATCAAACATCAAACCACGCTAGCGGCATCATTTCTCACTTATCTTGATTGACGTTATGGAGAAAAAATGTGATGATTACTGAACTTGACTATATTGATAATTACTGATAAAGGGATGCGTTATGTGAGAACCAAACAAGTGTTCACTTTGATAACCAAATTTATCTGTGTGCTTTCCATTTATCAAGTACATAGTATCGCACCGGAGATGGCTTGTCAATGTCATGACTATTTTGTTCAATCATGATAGTTTATCATTGATTCAGAAATAAGTTACCTCCCTGTGTTGTTACACTATATAAAGAGGTAGAATTCTCAATTTTCCAATATTGTACGCAGTCGTCACAAGGTAAGTTTACTTTCAAAAAGTATATTGACTAGAGTCGTGCTAATTAGGTCCAGACTTCTTTATTTTGCGTTTTATTTCACAGACCCTTATTTTCAATATGCGTTTATTGATCCTCGCCGTGCTCGTTGCAACAGCCGTAGCGTCGGCCCCATACTACAGGGTCCGTGATGCCGTAGAAGGTCGCTATTTGATCAAATTGAAGGTAAGTATAAGATACGCATACACAATTATGATATATTTGAGCGTTATTAAACATTTTATTTATGTATTTGTTCAATTATTTGTTTATTGGGCTGGTTACGATTTCTTAAATATAAAAATGCACAATAGGACTGTAACAATAAAATCTAATTGGTCAGGAAACTCCAAAATATATGTTCATAGCAGGAATAAAGCAGACCATGGAATAAATCATTTTAAGTAGCTACCAGCACATTAATGATATTCAGCAGATTTTTGACTCTGTGTATGCAATACGTTACAGTATTTGACACATAAATTACAGTGTCATATCGTAAATTATATGGATAATACAAAGACTGTGATAATAAACGTATTCGTAGTCTCAAACTTGAATACAACACGTATATTCAACGCCACCGTATCTTGTTACGCCGTCGATTTTCAATGCTGAGAAAATGTGGATATAGCTCCTCGGGTCAACATTTTACTCGGCACAGTATTTCCTTGTGTATGATAATTCCCCAAACTCCAATTTATCACTAAAATGTCAATGCCTGGGGGAGCAAAACTAATGTTTGCTGTCTGTGTGATCAGTCGCCATGCATTTTGAAAGCACACTGTCCAACTTCTTTCTTGGTCAATCATTTTCGGTGTCATTGCTGTTATTTTTAAAACACTGTGCACTTTCCCAACTGATTAATTCATTTTTATGAAAATCAGTACTTGTTTTGAAGTTTAAAGGAGAACAGTGCTTATGTCATGTTAAATGCGTATTCTCGTTGCAGTATTTCGGATAGTTCATGCCACTTCCTCCTGCGTATTTGAATTAGTGAACACAAATTACAATATATTTTATTAGCTGGTATCAATCTGATTAAAATTATATAATTATATGTAGTATATATGTATAATTATTGTATTGTATTGTATTGTATTTGTTTGTATATACTATTACTTTGTTCATTTCCACACTTCCACAAATCAAACAATCTGAACACGGCGATTCTGTCATTAATCAACTTTGAAAATCGGCGCAATTTGCAACTCTCACTGGATTACCAATGGCCGTTATTACTGCGCTTCTTCTTTACATGGGAAAGCATGGCGAATTATGACGTATTTGCATATTGTGGCTCCGACAGTTGTGTGCAAAATTTGTAAAATAAATAGTATTTAGGCGATGACTTTGCAGTTGTGATACACCTACATCAATGTTGTCGCCATATTGATTTTTCACTCCACAGACGCGAACTCCGAACAGTTCGAAAGGCTCGCGTGAAGCGTCCTCACGAGACAAATAGGACGTTTCGGATACTTGGGGAAAGGTCAATTCGCTTCAAATATGGAACTTTATCAGTTGCATACTTTATTTTATAAATTATTGGTTGTGGTCAATACAACATTGTGTATGCTTGGTTTAGTTTAGTTGCTGGCAATATCTTCATAGGTGGTGAATCAGGTAATAAGAATTAAACGCAGTTCAAAACATATATATTATTTGCGGTCTCCATTAAGATTTTATTACAACAATTATTACTTCTATGATATTATTCAAATTACAGGACGGAGTATCTATCTCAGATTTTGCGAGCAAGATGGCTCCCTTGGGTGCTTCAGTAGTTAAAAAATACCGTAAAGTGCTCAGTGGAATTGCTATTTCAGCACAGCCGAAGATTATCACTAGTGTAAGATCACATTTAATGTTTATTTCTTTCTACCATGAAGAACTAAGATAAATAACAGCAAAAAACATAAAAATAACTTTATTTGAGCGAAATATTACGGCCCACCATTATAATAGTATGAAATATTTGTTGCGTTTCATATGACTTTTGTAGTAATTCATTGTTCACTGTTGTATATATCACTTTCTTAAACTAGCGATTTAGTAGGTGTATTTCAGTGTTTTAAAACGAACGAATTTGAGGGCTGAGGCAGTTTACATACGTAGTGTTCTGATGTCACATAATTCGAATAATCATAAGATATAACGATTTAACGCCTGTGTTAATAATTTCAATGGTAACTGTAAATTGGTATACCGTTATAGCTTCGTAATATGGATGAAATTGAGTATATTGAAGATGATGGTATCACAAGAGCCACAGTGGAATGGGGAATGGACCGTACAGATCAACGCAGCAACAACCTTGATGGTGTAATGAACCTTTATGGTGAGCACTCTAGCAGTACGGTTGTTATCAAACATTCTAGGAACTATCACAAGTTATCCTATGGTATCAGTTCATTTTCACAGATAAAACACATGACATAACTTGATGTGATTACGACAGACTGTCGGTTGCGTGATAACTTTACAGTA